GCACAGTTTATAATAATGCAGTAGTTCATCTAAAAATGAAATGAAGTATTCTCCTAAACATTTTTGTTTGTGTTTTACACGGGAAACAAGGTTGTACGGGTTTGGAACAACATGAGTAAATGATGACAGAATTTTAATATTTCCTTCGTTAACTCAATATTCTCAAAACGAATGATACCAAAGCTACATTGAGAAGAACAGTTGGTTGTGAATGTTCATCTGGGTTAATTAGCCACAGAAAAGTATCAGCCCACTGGGACCACAAGTGTTGCATGATGGTATGATATTCTCCTTAATTAATTCCTTCCCTTAATAATATGCATAATATCAGAATTAATCGCATATAGAAGTCTTATTTTAATAGGTTTCTTGACCCACATGCAGACACACCATACTATTTCACACAATCACTATAATGGTGCTTTTTGATTCAGAAGCTCTTGCAAGTGATTCAATTGAATCAGGTTGAATGACTCTAGATGGTTCGGATGCTTTGCACCAATCCTCTCCCTCTATATCATCAATATCCAGGAAGTTGTCAACTACTAATTAAACCTCCTTTCCCTGAGGATGCCAGTAGTTTGACTTGGCATTTCCTTTTAACTACAAAAGCGAGCTCCGCTAGAGAGTTTCTTCACTTATAGACATAATGAATCTGCCTTTGCTATTGAGACTTCCGCTTCCGAACATAATTTGATGCGTTAGCCGTGTCTCTGTAATTGTGGCTCGGAGCTGTTCGTGAATGATAAAAGCGTTTGATGTTATTAATTCATAGCAGGGATGTGATCTTTTATCTGGCCCATGGAGGAAAGCCAGTTCTGTTGATAAAAGTTCTGTTTCTGGAGTTCTTTCTAAAGCGTCTCACGGCATGAATTATGCACTAAGACCCTTGATCAGGTTTTGCATCTGAACTCGACTGCTGTTGAACAGCCAGAGCAAATGAAGACATACGGTATATAGATACAGCCAAGAACATGCTGTTTATTGTACAGACTCTGTGAATTGAGTTATGATGTAAAACTAGATTCATTCCTCTAAAGAGTGCAACAGTTTTGACAGTAAAAATCACATTCACTTTCTTGATTTGTATTATTATTATTATTATTATTTTATTAAATTTTTTACTGAAGAACTTCACAGATATTTAATGTACACATACTACAGACTCTGTGAATTGAGTTATGATGTAAAACTAGATTCATTCCTCTAAAGAGTGCAACAGTTTTGACAGTAAAAATCCCATTCACTTTCTTGATTTGTATTATTATTATTATTATTTTATTAAATTTTTTACTGAAGAACTTCACAGATATTTAATGTACACATATACACAATGTAGCATTTACTATAGAAAAAGCTTTTTAAACTGTTTTTAAATTGCTAGTAAATAATTACAAATAAATGTAAAATTAAATGTAATATTTTGAAGTAAATAAAAATGTAAATAGTATTTTTCTTGTAAAACATAATCCAATCATCTTTATTTACAACTACAACAACAAAAATATTTTTTACAGTATGTATATGTGCCAATAAATTACTAATGTATTGTTGGTATTGTTTTTATGCTTATAATCAATTTAAAATTATTGCTGAAATGAGAAAATGTTCATATCTAATAATGTTATGTTATTAATATTATTATTATGTAATGTTAATAATATTTTGAAATTTACAATTTTACTAAATATTTACCCAAAAAAATTTTTAATTACAATTTTACTGAAGGACCTTATAGATGTAGTGTATGAATGGCAATACATTACAAATGTATTGTTGCTTATAATCAATATCAATTTTAAATCTATTGTCAAAAATATAAATAACTTTTTTTTTTTAATATTAGTTGAAATATTAGTTGAATAACTTTGTTTATATTATGTATTATTAAATGTATTATTCGTTTTTAATATTAGTATTATACGTTTTATAAACTTTAAATGTATAATAATTTTTTTCTACTTCGTCACTTATTTTCCTTCAAATTATTTGCTTCAAAGTTTGTGAACTTTTTATTGAAGAGTTTTATAAACTCAAATACATTGCTATATATGAATAACAATTAACTTTATTTGTATTTTATTTGTATTTTTTTAACAACACATATGTAGTGTGCATGTGGCAGTACATTTAAAAAGTATTGTTTTATGCTTGTTTGAATTGGGAGTACTTCTGGAAGCACTGCTGCTGAGCAGTGCAGATATTAATCCTTCCAGCCGATCAGATCGTCCATCCCTGAGAATCAGATGTGTTTTGGATGCTAATCTAATCAGGACCAGTCGCTCTGCTCCATTGATCCCCTTGTACTTCCTCTAGAAACAGAAAATAGAGTTTATCAGGCAGATTGATGACGCTTAATCTAATACAGGAAGTACAGCGATGGAAAACATTTCCTCAGTCTGCATTATAAAGAGCTACCAGACTTTCCCATGCAAAACTCCTTACCAGGATGCTATCGCGGTTGCTATGGTGTTCTGGGTGGTTGTTAGGCTGTACTGGGGGGTTGCTAGGTGGTTGTTAGGGTGTTCTGGGTGGTTTCTAAGTGGTTGTTAGGGTGACTTGGACAGGGCGTTGCTTTGTGATGTGGAATAAACAACTAGCTACCATGAAGTAACTGTGGTTTCAGTGGTGTTCTGACTGGTTGCTAGGTGGTTGTTAGGGTGTTCTGGGTAGTTGCTAGGTGGTTGTTAGGGTGACTTGGCCAGGGAATTGCGATGTGATGTGGAATAAACAACTTGTTTCCATGATACTACTGTGGTTGCTAGGGTGTTTTGGGGGTTCCTAGGTGGTTGTTAGGGTGTTATGCCTGGTTGCTAGGTGGTTGTTATGGTGTTCTGAGTGGTTGCTAGGGTGACTTGGACAGGGCGTTGCGTTGCTATGTGATGTGGAATAAACAACTAGTTACCATGAAGTAACTGTGGTTTCTAGGGTGTTCTGACTGGTTGCTAGGTGGTTGTTAGGGTGTTCTGGGTAGTTGCTAGGTGGTTGTTAGGGTGACTTGGCCAGGGAATTGCGATGTGATGTGGAATAAACAACTTGTTTCCATGATACTACTGTGGTTGCTAGGGTGTTTTGGGGGTTCCTAGGTGGTTGTTAGGGCGTTATGCCTGGTTGCTAGGTGGTTGTTATGGTGTTCTGAGTTGTTGCAAGTGTGACTTGGACAGGGCGTTGCTATGTGATGTGGAATAAACAACTAGGTACCATGAAGTAACTGTGGTTTCTAGAGTGTTCTGGGTGGTTGCTAGGTGGTTGTTAGGGTGACTTGGACAGGGCGTTGCTATGTGATGTGGAATAAACAACTAGTTACCATAAAGTAACTGTGGTTTCTAGGGTGTACTGGGTGGTTGCCAGGTGGTTGTTAGGGTGACTTGGCAGGGCGTTGCTATATGATGTGGAATAAACAACTCAATACCATAACAATACTGTGGTTGCTAGGGTGTTTTGGGGGTTGCCAGGTGGTTGTTAGGGTGTCTATGTGGTTGTTAGGGTGTACTGGGTGTTTGCTAGAGTGTATTGGGTGGTTGTTAGGGTGTTTGACTGGTTGCTAGGTGGTTATTAGGGTGTACTGTGTGGTTGCTAGGTGGTCATTAGGGTGACTTGTCCAGAGCGTTGCTATGTGATATGACATAAACAGGTGCCGCTACATAAAACGGTGACATTTATCATCTGTGCGTCTCATGAAGCTCCTGAGTGAATGCAGCTGATCAGTGTGAGTCTCTGGAGGACGTTTGACTGAAGCTTTACTACAAGAATCCCTGATTAGTATTCAGCATCTCTCTCTCTCCACAGGGCCGTTACTGAACCTCTGCACAGATGCGGCTGCACTTAAACACCGTTCAGAGACACCGCAGCCGTACCTGCTGCCGTCAAACAGTCGCTCTGCACAAACACGTCTGATCGATTGTCTCTTTATCACAGCAGTCAGACTTTGCTCTCATTTGCTTTGCCCTCACACTTTTCACTTTTGTTGAAGTTGAAGTGGAGACACACTAAACTCTTATTATTGCTCACATTTAGAGTTGATGTTTAGAACAAACCCCAAACACTTCTGTCCTGCAACATATTTTTAACTGAAGAAAATTACAGATATAGTGTAGTGTAGTGTGTGCATGGAAATACATTTAAAATATATTGGTTTTATGGTTATAATCAATATCACTTGTATTTTATCTACTGCCAAAATTATAAATAATATATGTTTTTAAATAATGCAATTTATTACACTTACATTGCATATTTTATATTATATATAATATCATTATATAATTACATAATACTAGAATTAATATACATTAAGTAATTATATACAGGTGCATCTCAATAAATTAGAATGTCGTGGAAAAGTTCATTTATTTCAGTAATTTCCAGCAACTTGTTTTATTACTTATTTGCTTCAAATCAAATTACTTTACTGAATACATGTTTTTTATATATATATATAAAAAAATTATATATATACACAGACACATTTGAAATAAATTTTTTTTATTTATTTTTTATTATTTGCTTCAATCAAATTCTTTATTGAATACTTATATACTTATAATCAATTTTTCAATTTTTTGTTAATTATTTGCATCAAATCAAACTTTTTACTGACTATATATTTTAAAACATCTATTATTTGTATGCTAGTCCTACAGTATTTGTGCTGTAGACATTTTATTTCTAAGTGACCTGACTAATCTGACTTGTTTTCATCTGGCAGGTGATAAAAGCAGGCAAACACACGTTTCTATCATGCTGAGCGGAATTTTCTTCTCATTTCAGCAAAACCCACAAACTAAACTCAAATTAGTATTCATAAGTTAGCACCGTTTTACTTATGCACATATTCAAAAATGCACACACATCATCAATATGATTATGATTTTATGTAATGGACTCATTTCGAGAAGATTTGATATTCAGAGTCTGTTTACAGTCTCTCTGGTGGGAGAGCGGCAGAGGAAGAGGGTAAATACATTTTGCCCACTGCTGTGCTGTGAAATACCATGAATAAACATGCAAGGCATTCTGGGAGATCGGAGACCAGTGAAGACTCATTACTGACTCTGACTGCAAGTTTAAGATGTAAGTGGGACAGTGAGGTTTGGTTAAGGTCACATTTTTAAGCAGAAAGAGTAATATTTTCTTTAATTTATTATTGTGTATTTAAGTTGTTTTTTATTATTTTTGTCATGCAGGTGGAAAATGTGACCCAAAACTGCATGAAATTGCATGATCAGCACATCTGATGCACCGCAGCCTGCAGCTGCAAACGCCATTGATGCCGTTTTACAAACCCACTAAATGAATGAATGGATGGTTCATCCCGTGAATCTGACTTCATTCATACTGATGACTGAGTGCGTGCCCTGTTGAAGCGCTCGCGTGATTTATCCACGGCTCAGCCCGCAGCAGCGTCCGTATGTGACAGAAACAAGAAGGTGATTTATGGATACATTTCAATCAGCATTAATAAAAAGGTTTTAATACTGTAGAAATAATTGACAAAACTTTTAATTTTTTTATTTAGTTTATTTAGATTGACGCATATTTAAAATTATTTACATATAATTTACCATTTTAATAATAAGCTTTATTTTGCATTAATCTAATGTAAAATTATTCCCAATTATTTTACATTTCAATCAGCAAAGAAAATTTTATATTCTTTAATAAATTAAACAAAGCTTTAATATTGTATAAATAATTGACAAAATGATTTAATTAGATATTTTAAGTAAAAATAGTTGCATTACAGTAATTTCTTAGATTATTTTTGCATTTCATTTGAAATTAAAGAATGTTTTAATATTATATAAATAATTGATATAAAAAATTGACATATACTATTACTACTACTAATAATAACCTGTCTTTTACATTACACTAATAGGAATATTGTGGTGCGTTTAATTGTCATGAAATTAAAAGTAATCTTATTTTAAAAACAGACTTAATTTTCTTTATGCACAATATAGATTCTTATTTATTCCTTTTGTTTTTTGGGTCGCAATGTGTGTGTTTTTATGATTAAACCCTACTTTATGTCCTCTGGAGACTGAAGAAGAAGATCAGGGATGGATCTTGAAAGTAGGCGCAGAAGAAGAAGGTCAGTGAAAGTGGAGCGGCGGTCCAGAGCTCTTCAATCATTTATTGCTCTGATGGAGCGGCTGTTTTCTCTCTGCTCATCCCGCGCATCTGTGCGTGTGCCGAGTGTTGCCACGGTAACTCTGGAGCTGCTACATCATTTCCTGTGCCAACAGTGTTACTAGCCACACGTCTCAATCTGTCTGTTAGTTTCTTTCTTTCTTTTTTGTTTCCCTGTCCTGTTGTTTCTTTTGTCAGCCTCTTTTTATTGTTTGACGGGTGATTCACACTTAATTTCTTTGCTTTTTTCATCTTTTTATTCAATTTTATTCAATTATTAGAGATGTTTGTGTCGCTATTGCTCGTATTCAGAAACCCTTGAACTGCATCTGGGGTTTAAAATATCTTGTTGGTGAGGCTCTTTTAACTTAAACCAGTGAGAGACTATCTAGCAACCACAAACAACACCCTAGCAGCGACATAGCATTAGCATGAGAGCGCAAATGTTGTATTAACTCTACACAGCAGTTCAACAAACATGATGTTAATATTAAGTGAGTTGCATTTTAGACACAATAGTGTCTGTTTTTCTTTTTGCCAATGAAAATAGTTCCAATCAAAGCTGAATCAGAGCATTTGTGCATCTCAGAGCGACACTGCGTCTTTTGTTCCTGAATTAATCTGTTTTTGAACAAAACATTTGAGTCAGTGATTCAATGATCCAGTCATAAAGAGAGTAATTTGCTTTGTTTCTAAATGAATCAGCTGTTTTGAACGAATCATTTGAGTCAGTGATTCAATGATCCAGTCATAAAGAGAGTAATTTGCTTTGTTTCTAAATGAATCAGCTGTTTTGAACGAATCATTTGAGTCAGTGATTCAATGATCCAGTCATAAAGACACTCATTTGCTTCGTTTCTAAATGAATCAGCTGTTTCGAACGAATCATTTAAGTCAGTGAATCAATGATCCAGTCATAAAGACACTCATTTGCTTCGTTTCTAAATGAATCAGCTGTTTCGAACGAATCATTTAAGTCAGTGAATCAATGATCCAGTCATAAAGACACTCATTTGCTTCGTTTCTAAATGAATCAGCTGTTTCGAACGAATCATTTAAGTCAGTGAATCAATGATCCAGTCATAAAGACACTCATTTGCTTCGTTTCTAAATGAATCAGCTGTTTCGAACGAATCATTTAAGTCAGTGAATCAATGATCCAGTCATAAAGACACTCATTTGCTTCGTTTCTAAATTAATCAGCTGTTTCGAACGAATCATTTGAGTCAGTAATTCAATTATCCATTCATAAAGA